CATTGAGGTGGAGAAATTAAGTATTCGTACAACTAACTGAATAGAGCACGGCTCCTTTGGTGTAGTTTCATCACTCTTAAGGGACTTCCTTGTTTTCCATCTCTATTCCCTTCCCAATTCAACATTTATTTAAAAATGATTTCAATTCCATAAAGCTATATTAACAAAATTCAGTTAATACAGAAACCAACCAAGTAAAATGTATGAAATATATGAATAAATGAATATATCAATATATGAATAAATTCTGTTTAGCTCTTGTGTTTTGCCTTGTTTTAACTTTAATTTTCATTAACTAAACACAAGCAACTTCGCCTTAGGCTGTGTCTATTCCTCTTACTTTTATTCATTATGGTGCTGTCTTATAGGCTGGTTTACATACCACACATTTAAGCTCCACCCACCCCACCCTGCCCCTTTAGGGTAAAAGCCTGCCTGAAAAACTGAGTGGCACTAAAAGAGGCCACATGCAATTCTTCCCTGTGTTACTTAGAGCACCAATGTCACATCTCAAAGGCAGAATGGATCAGAGGCTTTTTATTTTCTATAGAGCTGTGGTTTCCAAGCAAGAGACAGAGAGCAGTATAAAATATGACTGCAACACCCACAGAAATAAAAATGGATACCAACTCAAATATTTTATATATAAATACCTTCGAATCCTTGTAAAGAAAGAGATGTCCATCTCGTAAAACAAAATATCGGTCTTGAAATTTATTTCCAGATAATATTTTAGATGGTTCTTCTTTGATTTTCAAAACTCCTTCTTTGATACATTCCAGGGCACTCCTCTCTGTAAAGCATAGCGATTACTTTTGTAAGTTATGTACATTTTTATTTTAAATAAATACAAATATTTGTAAATTTTTTTCTTTGCTAATATGAAGTAACAACTTGTTTTCTACCATTAAAAAGCCCAACATAAATTTCTGAAGATACTATGTGTCAGAATAGTATCGCTTTAAATAGACTTGTGTTATCCAATATGACAGTCATTGGTCACAAATGACTACTGAGTACTTAAAATGTGGGTAGCTTGGATTATAATGTGTTACGTATGTAATATACACAGCAGCTTTGTAGAAAAAAATTAAAATATCACAATTTGAAATACTGATTAGGTGGTGAGATGATTATCTTAGGTAGAAGGGACGAAAATAAAATTGAATTCACTTGTTTCCTTTTACTTTCTAAATGTGGCTAATGAACCCACCGGCTTCCGACCCACAGGGACCCCTATGGTTCCTGAGACTGAGAGTCCTTATGGGGGAAGACGGCCTCACCTTTCTCCTGAAGAACAGCTAGTGAGTTTGAAACACTGAACTTGTTAGCAGCCCTAAGCCTAAACCACGCTGTCATCAGGGATCCTTTAATGTGGCTGGTAGAAAATTTTAAATTACCTACGTGGCTAGCATTGTCTTTCTTTGAATTGCACTGGTAGATGCAATGTGACTGCATGGGGCAGAAAAGATAAAACAATCTATGATCAGACACAAGACTCCAGCAATTCTTGAGGGATCACAGAGAGTCCTATAAATCTGAATCAGATAAGGGTAAAACAAGGCAAAGTGCTAAGATGGAACATTTGCCAATGATTATATTTCCCACATAACACAGTCAGTGTCCCATACTTAGAAATCATTTTAACAAGTTCTATTAAAAAAATTTTGCCAAGAACATCAAATTTGTATTTATTACATATAAACTTTATCAATGTCTATATCTAGTCTAAAACTTTCCCTGAAAATACAGACTTAAATACGCAACTATTTAAGCAATGAAAGCAGTGATGTGTCGGAAGGGGAGAGAGTATGGAGGAGGACTCTGAAGTCCATTAGCTTTGATGCAGTTTTTATGTGTTGATTCTGACTCACAGGGAATCTACAGGGCGGAGCCTGTGCATTTTCAAGACCATCACGCTTTGTGGGAGTAGAAAGCCTGATCTGTCTCTGATGGGCACCAGGGCTCCTGCCAAGTCTCCTTCTTTTGAAAGAGAAGAAAGGAAACCTAACCGGAAGAACTGTCCAGGTGTCTATTCTGGATAACGCACAGAAAGGGACATGGTTGGTTATGATATCAGGACTGGGACTGTGTATGTATTCAGCACATGGTTTTTAAAGTTACAAAACAGGTAAAAAATAAAGTTTAGAAAGGAGGACCTTTAGTTGTGCACATAATATTATCTTGTTTTATTTTAAGGGAGAGGGGAAGCTTAACTTATAGGGGAAAAAAATCCCCAAACAAACACTTATAACTATATATAAGAAAACAAGAGTCCAAATAAAAGCAGAACAAAATGATAACTCCCACCTGAACATGGAATGATGATCTGGAAGGAAAAACCCCCAGGATTAATCATTTCCCTGATTACAGCAGAAATTGAAACCCAAAATACAATCTCACGATGTGCAGATGGGCTACAGACAACAGAGATTTTACCACATTGTCATACTTAAAAGCAAAGAAATAAATCTGTCTTGGAAGTACATCCATAATGTTCCTAAGAAACAAGGATGCTAAGAATTTACCAAACATACTTGGACATTTTATCAGGAGAGACCAGTCCCTGGAGAAGGACGTCATCCTTGGTAAAGGAGAGGGGCAGTGAAAACGAGGAAGACCCAGGATAAGATGGACTGACACAGTGGCTGTAACAATGGGCTCAAACATAACAGTTGTGAGGATGGTGCAGGGCTAGGTAGTGCCAGGCACTGTTGTACATTGGGTTGCTGTGAACTGGAACCAGCTTGATGGCACCTACCAGTAATTTGTGACTTTAAAATAGTTATGAAAAATACACTACTAAAAGTTATCTTCCTAGTTCAATCTCTGATACCTGAGAGTCAATTAATCCCAAAGGAAAAAAATATTTTAAAGAACACTTTCATAGTTAAATGCCTTCTTATTATAATAAAAGAATACTTTTCTAATAGCAAGAGAAAATAAGCAATATTTAAAAGTAGGGTTAAATGAAAGACATTTTCCACAACCACGCATTCATTTCTTCATCAAGGGTCTACTATACACTAGGTTCATGGAATATACATGAAAGATAGATGTGAAATTTAGTCAGTGTTAAAGACAGAATTAAATGAACATCAAAAAAATATTTGCATATGCTATGATTTCAAAAATATAGGATAAAGAAAACAATTTATAATACTATAGTTTTAGATATAGGTAAAGTATTTTAAGGAACATCAAACCAGTTAAAATCAAGATATAACCTATAAATATTGGACATAACCTAAGGCAGACATATTCCCATCATATATTTTATTTTTCCAAGAGATTTATTGGGAACTAATACATACATTATATCATTCCACAGCTCAGTCAGTTCAAGCACTATTGTACAATTGCTACCAAAATCAGTCCCAAAACATTGTCATCCTTCTTGAACTCTTTGATATCAACTCTCTCTTCCTCGCCACCACTTCCCCCACTATACCCCCGGAACCCCTTTTCTAGTTGTCTCTCTAGTTTCATCAATCCTGGGTTTATGCACTGAAAAACATAGGAAACACATAACAAAGATACATGAAGGTTACCCAAAATGACAAAATAAAAGATATAAACTCGAATATGGAAAAACACACACAGAAAATATCAAAAACAGATCAAGCCCAAAGTGTATCAGAGGAGGGATCAAGTGACCCGTTCAAGACAAGTCTATCCTTTTAATCTACTATAGTTCTCTCTGTCTGAAACCCAGGTTATTCCCATCCCTCAATGATGGTCGGAGGGAAACCACCACAAGCTTATTCCCTGTAGAGATGCTGCACATGTATTTGGGGCACCCACTCTCCTTCCTTCTGCACACCCAAATCTCTCAAGTTAAGCTCAGATAGTATCCCCTATTATCATGGT